AATCTCAGAGTGCCAGATGTCAGTAATAAGTTCACATAAATTCCTCAATGAGGTAGGTTCACTATTTTTTAGTTGTCCTATTGAAATAAGATCATGTCCTGAAGACTTTTTATTCTTTAAGTTTTCATAACCATAGCATGGCATAAAAACCATTTATTTGGTTAAATTTACTTTTCAGTTTTGTATTTTCTACTAAATACGCGGAATAAGAACTAGAATTTTAAAAACCAGAATTTTAGGTGAGTTGTCGTTATAGGAACAGAAAAATTATCAAATAAATGGTATGAATACCGTTTATTTTAGATTTTGGTTTTTATTACCAGAATTATGGTTATATTAACCAGATATGTTATTACTATAAAATATGGTAATTTTATTAGATTTTTCTTCTCGGTAAACTTTTGAATTTTTAAACAACTCCTCAGATAAATAAGAGCGTTCCTGTTCATTGCTGGTAAATTTTCTTTTTTTTAATGATGTGAAAATTGTGCCAAATAACTTCATTTGCTTTCGAGATTCGGACAAGCAGCAGAACATTCTTTATCTTTATCTTATTTATGCCACGTGTTATAGTTGCAAAAGTAGTTTTCTTTCACTTTCATTTTGCATGTAAGCAATTTCAAAAAACGATTTACGATACATTTAAAATAATCAAAATAATACTAATAAAGATAGTGTACTTACGTCATTAGGCATCAGCTTTGCACAATCCACACCATCAGAAAGAAATTTATCTGAATAATGATACATTTTTTTTATTTATTATTGAAACACATTGAGTATACATAAACCACACACTTTATGCATATAAATGGGAATTTAATCTATTCAGAGAATACAAAATGAAGTAAAAATACCAGGCATAAAATTAAAGCACCCATTTTAACTTAGACTACCTATCAGCACCTTGTGGAATCATGCCACGGCGTGTGCTAGCAATTTTGAGGGCTAAAGGTGGTCCTACATGTTATTAGCAGGGTGGTCATTATGTAATGGCTCTTCGGTTTATATTAGCATTGGTTTAAAGAATAGAAAGATCACTTCCAAATGAGGTGATTTAACAGTTCAGTGAAAGCTGGTACATTCGTGCACAACTGTAACGAGACGATTATAAGTCCAAACAATATAACGAGACGATAATAACCAAATAAATAGTTTACATACCGTATATTTTTGGTTTTTATTACCAGAATTACGGTTTTTTTAGCAGATTGTCATTACTACACTTCTAGGGTAATTTTACGAGATTTCTTTTTATTTTCTTTTTTTTTCGTGTAGATGGATCATGCGTTTGAATCCCCTTGATATCAGGCTAACCGTGAGTTCCCTCCCCATGCAAAGCAAATGCGAGTTTATTTAATTAAAAATGTCTGAAAATATGTTAGTTTGTTCAAATGCTTGATGCAAGTGCTTCCTTGTCTTCTGAGTTAGGTCAAAATTTCAAAGTTACAGAGTTGACTATTTATAGCTGCAAATTCAATATTAGGAATTAGATGTGCAACAAAATAATACAACCTGATTACGTCATAACAATACATTACCACACATAACTGATGCCATTTTTTCATCGCAAGATAAAGAGAAGCTACCAAAGCTTTCTGATAACTTCAATAAAAATAGAAATAATAAATATGATGCACAAAATTTAAAACTCATCATTGAAACATAACATTTCTACACAAAATAACTTGTGAATATTCCGGAAAATTTATTAAATACCATCTTGCTACAAGCTGTGCAAAGATTTGTCAATGCTTCTTTCTTTTAATTTTTCATAAACATATAGTATTTTTAACACGTCAATAATCAATGCATCAAACACTTGAAAAATTAATAGTGTTTTTTTCCAAATGGACGATATATATTGTATGTTTCTTTGAAACTTTGTAATTCAGGAAAGTGCTCAATCGATTTATAGCCCATATCCTGAAGTAATTCATCATAATATTCAAATAAAAAACTTTTCCTTAAAACTTATAGTGCCTTCATTATTTTATTGTTATGATTTGTTGTAGTCCAACTTTTTATTGTCGTAGTTTACAAATTGAAAATAAACGTACAGAAAATTCCCTATAATGTAATATATGAATATTAAAGCAACATAACATGCTGCTTGTTTTAATTGTAACAAATTCGCTGATTAATAATAATGAAACATTTTGTTTTGCAAAAATCAAAATATTTTAACACGTGACTATTTAGTTTTAAATGACCAAACAAAAAATTTGAATAAAACTGATTAAACAGTTCTTGAGAAATAGAATTTTTAAAATATTGATTTTTGAATTTTAATGACTCAGAAACTATTCGACAGATTTCGCTCAAATTTTGTATTTTGTCATTTAAAATTACATACTTTTAAGGTAGTGTAAATGTCTTGTATAGATTGCAATTCTATATTTTCTGGATTAAATTATATAAAATAATAAAAAAAATATTAAAAAATCATTTTTTATATAAAATTATCATTGGATAAACGAATTTTATAATTGTGTGGAAAATTCTGTCAAAATACGCGGAAAGAAAAATTTATATTAAAGGGGCCTAAATTTTTGACAGCTCTCCTGCCGAAACAATTGAGACCATATTTCGCTGATTGTGGCTACCTCCTCCATATATTTTAGTGGTCAAAACTCCAAATCAGTTGGAAAAAAAGGCATGTTTATTCTGAGAAATTGCATTTTTTGTCCGTTTCTGTAACTTAAATAATAGTTAGCACTAAGTAATTAGTATATGTGAGATTATTCTTTAAAATTAATAAAACTAGTTTGTTAAAATTCAATCATTAGAGTAAAATTTACTTGAGGTGACATTTTTATGCTTTCTCTTATACAATTTATAGCAAATTATTTTTCTTTAACACAAAAATAATTCGGAAAACCATTAAAGCTCAGAAAGTAATTTGAAATGTAAACAAAGTGAGAAGCAAAATTCATCTATGGAAATAACAGCATGTGGCTGAAAAAAAAATTCAAAATTCTACTGCTAACAATTTACGCTGAACTAAATTAAACAAAAAACAAATCTTTTGGTAAAAAATAATTTAAAAACTAAAGGAAAACTTAAGAGGAACTCAAGAGGAAATTGATTTTTAAACTAAGATTCTACTTAAATGAAAATTTAAAAAAAACGAGTAAAAATTTATAGTTTATTGAATAGCTGCAGATTGAAAAGAAAGTTATATGTGTTGAGGTATTATTAATCATAAACGAAATATAAAAAAAAATTATAATATTCTGTTAAAATATAAATTAAATATACGAAATAGAAAGCAGGGGAAATTTTCCAGAGAACTAACAAACTAAATGTTACAAATTAAAAGAAAAATTTAAAATAATAATATTAATAATATTTAGGTATAATGCTTTTTTTAAAAAAAACCTATAAATACTTGTTTTATTTTATTTTTTTAAATTTATAGTACACAATTCAGAAAAAGAAAAAGAAGCATTTTGCATTTTAAAAAAATAAAGTTTTAGACAAATTTAGTAAAAATACTCAAAATAAAATTTTAAAATTACAGAAAATAATTACTAACAGTAATTTAGATCCATTATTTTCGATTGAAAAATAGAAAAATGTCTTGTAACAATTTGTCATTACACAAATCTGCAAGAACTAAAAACAAAATACTATTTTTCCTAATCTAATATATCGTTAAATATTTATTTTCTAGCAACAAGCAAAAATTCGCTTTAAACTATTATTTTCGACTAATGAAACGAAAAAATCGAAGCAAAAGAAATCTCTCACGCAGATTACAAATAAAATGTACGTTTCTGAAAAATGAAGATGTCCTTCTGTATAAAAATTAATTTTGAGAAAAGAAAATTTAAGAAAAATATTCATAAGAATAATGAAATGTAAAATACATATCTCTATTCATTAATTTTTATTGATAAAACATCGTTAATTTCAGGATAGCATTTTAAGTATTAATATTTTTTGAGCATATGTAAAAGAATGAATGTTTAATTTAGATATTTCTTTATACTTAAAAGAAAAACAATGTAATTGAAATGTATTTCAATGTTTCTTTTTTTTAATTCTCGCTTTTTTATGATATTAACAATATTCATGACACTAACAAAATATAAATGATTATGAATTATGTAACAAACAAAATGTGTAATTGGAAAAAATCAGTCAACAAAATATTTATTCAACGCGAAACTTATTTCCGTTTTTTTTTTGTTACGTTTTTAAATTACGTGTATTAATTTCCAAATTTAGCATTCAATTTCATCCTTCGTCTAATGATACCTAATTTTCTACTATACATTAGAGTTAGAACCATTTAATATATAAATTAAATTGTTAAATTGGTTAAAAAAATTCATTAAATTGGCTTGACGAACCATGCCCTGATATAAATAAGAGTGCTCATCAAGTGATACATTGTTATAGAGATGTCCAAGCCATAGGCTGAACTACATCCTTGAATGGAATAAATAAAACGATTTTCGTAATTTTGTGGTTGTGAATGGCAACTAGCTGTTTGCGCTACTCGTATTGGTTGATACGCTTTCCTATCCCAATAGAAACGTTTTCCTATTGGTTGCCATATAACTGATGAATCATTAATGGATTGCCTGTGAATAGGTTCAAGTGACGTCAGCTTGGACATCTGTTGTATTTTTCTTTTTGCTATTGGCGATAGAAATGTGTTACAGATGTCGCAGAGCAGCATACTTTCACCATTAGCGTGTGGATAGTCATAGGAGAATGTAGTATGTAAGTTTCTGTCTTGATTGGATTATATAGTTATAAGTTAGGAAACTATAAGGAACTGAAAACTGCATTGAACATACTTCTAAAAGAAAATGTAGTCGAAATTTTAGAAAAGATTTTTGATAATTAATACGAAAAATATTATGGAAAGTGAAAATATTGTAGCGCAACTGAGAAGAGGAAGGAAGGCAAGGAGTGCGGATCTAGATTTGGAACCGTGGTTTTCTCTCCAGGTGGCGAATTCGAGCTTTGCAAAAGCGAATTATTACATTGTCAAATCATACTCATCATTCAAGAGTTAAGGCTGTTTTTCAAAAGTTCTATCTTTACAAGATACAACACTTTTTAGCAAATAATACACTTTATTATGACTGTTGTGGGTTTGCAACAATTAACCATGGCTGTTAGGTTGTTCTGCCTATCTTTAGCTCGTGCTCTTTCTTCTGAGCTAATTAGAAAAACTGCGCTCAATATATAGGAAAAAATGCCTCAGTTTGCTGAAAATAGAACGAGTTTTTGATTTAATTTTTTAATTGAAATATTATTTAAGCTAATAACCTATAAAAATTTTGAAAAAAAATATTATATTGATTTTATTGATTTTCATCAAATTGCCAGATTGGGGATATTTTTTTTTAAAAATCTAAATGTATTTTTTTTTAAATTATTAAGTGATTTTTCCCGTTTTAAAGCTCATGTAACTGCTTGCGCATAGTATTTTCAGTTTTTTACGTTTAATATTTTAATAATAATTTCAGTGTTTGAGTTGTTTAAATAGTACCCTGATAAAATAATAGGACTTATTACACAGGGGCTGCTCTAGTGATTTCCAATTATTAGCCAATAAATTAGCCAAATATCAAAAGAATTCGCCAATTTTTGAAAGTCTTCGCCAAATGCAAATCTTTATAATAAACTCAAATTTCTTTGATAAACTTTTTCCCCCATAGAAATCTATTTTACTGTAGTTTGATTCAGGCTTATATTATTTAGACCCATTTCGAATTGTTTATGCGGCCCATCTACTGAAAATTACTGTAATCAAATAAAAAATACTGATTTGTTTAGAAAAATTCATTTTGGCGTAGTTTTAAGGATCGAGCTAAATATAAATTTTTCTTTCCAGTGGAAAAATTCATTCACCCCAATACTTTCGAACAGAACACAATTTTATTCGCCAAATTTACAATTTTATCAAACTTGGCGACGTGGCGAGAACTTAGCACGTACCTTTATTACATAATACATTTTATAAGTTATTGTATTGTATTTTATCTTGATTGGCCTTCAAAATCTCCAGACTTGAACCATATAGGAAATTATGGGGCGCTTTAAAACTATAACTTAATATGGCTTATTCTTCAACAGAATCTTGTGAACTCATTTCCTAACCAAATTCAGGAAGTTTTCTTCATGTCTAGAAAAATAATAGCATATAATTAAATGATGCCTTATGTGATTTCTCTTCGACATATTTTCTGTTCTTTGTCTTTGTTCTATGCATAGCCAAATGTAAAAATGCGTTAAATTTAAAATGTAACATATTTTTTTACATTTGTCTTTTATTCTTATAATTTTAATTAAATTAATTTTAATTAAATTAATTTTTATTAAATGATTGATTTTAAATTTCTATTATTCAAAATTCTTAAATAGTTTCATTCATAATCTATTACTGTTTCATCTATGAGAAAAATTCTAACCAACTATCTTTTGATAACAATCCTGTATTTACCATATGCAGTAACATCTCGCTTGTAATCTCCAAACCTAAATTTAAATTTTAACTGAAATGCGAAGTTTTAGTTTGTTTTGTCAATTACTGGAATGTGTTATCATTGCGTCATCAGGTTTTACTAAAATAACAAAAGTGAAAATGAGCTAATAAAGCAACATTGAGGAGGTTAAATTGAGCTCGATTTCGTTAAAAATAATCCATTTAATAAACCAAATAAAAATTATAATCTGTCATC